CTCTTCCCCCGGCCTGGCAGCTTCCTGGGAGGGGGGGCTTTGTGTGTGTGTTTGTGTGTGTGTATATCAGAGGCGAGAGCCCGACGGGAAGGGCAAGCCCTGCTTCCTTCCAGCTCCGCTTCCTCCTCTCAGGGTCCCCCGCTGGGCTTCGCCTGCAACAGCAGCGGCCGTAGCGGGGTTTTTTTCTCCTCCCTCCGGCGTTGTCTTGTGGCCCTTCTTCTCTTACCACCACCCCTTTTTTTTCCTCCTCTCCTAGAGCAGGAGGAGGGTTCGTGCCGGGCACATGGGAAAAAAGGCGGAGGGAAGAGAGAGAGAGAAGGAAGGAAGAGGAATGAAGGGCGACTGACTGGCACTCGGGGAGGAAGGAGGCAAATGCCCGGCCCCGAAATCGGCCGCCTGCAAGTCCCTCCTCTTCCCCTTTAGGCACATTCCCGCTGCCACTTGCCCCACGTGGCGTGCCGTTGCTGCTCCCTCTTGGCTGGGCAGAGCCAGGGCCCTGGTGTTTTTGTGTGTGCGTGTGAGTGGTTTCTTCCCTGTGAGAGGAAGAGGCGATCGGCTTCTGTGCCCGCGCGGGCACGGGGGTCGCGGGAGGGGGGGGACTGTTACAAGAGGTGGTAATAGTCTTTACTCTCGAGACGGTCAGCTAGCCGTAAGGATAGAAAAGCCGCGTGTTTGGTACACGTTTTAGGAGTCGCTGAGCTTTCGATCTTAATTGCGACGGCAGGGATAACAAAACTGAAAGAATGGGTTCTTTGAAATAACGTCCTAGTGTGTGTGTGTGTTGGGGGAGCCTCCCTGAACTTCTCAGTCAAGTTTTTAAAAAAAGAAACATACTCAAAATTGCAGTGCTCAGGAGTTGTTCCCTTAATGCCTCTGAAACACTGCTTATTGGGATATTTAGCTTTGTAAGAGTGTTCTGTTTTGAAAGAAAAGTGTACAGCTTGGTACCCTAAGAAACTGCAGGGGGGGACAAAGGGGTGCCCCGATTGTTTCAGTGCTGTTTCAGTGCTCGCTTTGGTGTTGTGTAACGGTTTTATTCTCCCCCCACAAAAAGAGAAGACACTCTTTAACTAAAAAAAAAAATTAAGTATATTACACTGTATTACATATATCGTAATCACAAATACAGTACTATAGTTTTCAGAACTTCAAGTCTGTGTATGCCTAGGCATAATTAAAGAATATTCAGAAAGGAGTGTGTTAATATTCTGCTAGTCAACAAGGTAAAGAAGAAAAATCTACACCATTGTTTTGGACAACTTTAGAATTTGGCAGTGGTACATGCATAGAAAAATAATAGCTGGAGGTACTTACTGTGGTAAAGACATTTGGCATGGCTTGTGCATTTCTGTTGAACCAAACCTTCCACATTGAGCTTGTATTAATGGCTGAAGGAAACTGGAGACATCTGATTCAACAACAAATGTGTGATTAGGTTTTGAATGATGATGGATAAAGTAATGAGCCATATTCCCCTTTGTCGACTTTAATGCTTCTAATTGTGTGCCATCAAGTCAATTCTGACTTGGTGAGCCTTTTCAAGGTTTTTTTCCCTCCCCTGTAGGAAGTACTCAGAAGTGGTTTGCCATTCCCTTCCCCCAGAGATGTTCTGGGACTGTGCAGCTTGCCCAGTCCCAGAACATCTCTGGGACTGGGCAAGCTGGTTGGCTCTTGTGGGATGCACAGTGGGGAAATTCAACTCCCAGCCAGATACGGTACCTAACTGACTGAGCTGTCCAGCCAGTCATGTCCACCTTGCCTAAAGTGACTTATGGAGCTATAATGTTCTGTTTATGTGTGTGTTTGTATATATAACATAACTTTTTCCACTTGTTTCCACAAGCAGTAGCTAGAAAGATAATATGAAATTTGCTTGGAAAACTGCAGTCGTGGCGAACTAATGCCTTCAGTCGTATTTGCTAGGAAGAGTCAGTTTTAAAAAGGGAATTGTCTTCCTAGCAATAGACTCGTTTCTCTTTGCAGTGTGTCATGCAGCTCAAGCAGTAGTTAGAAATTCCATCTCCTAACTTTTAGATACCCTGTCCAAAACCAGAGAACATAAGACTTCCTGTTCTACAGGAGTGGTAGTGGATGGGCAAGGTAGCGTTGTGACAAACCCAGACCTACTGGGATCTATCACACAGTTACTAAGCTGCCACCAACCATTCCCTATAATAAGTCACACAGACCAGGGATGGATTTTTAAACAACAAAAGAATAAGGTTTATTTTAAATACAAACAGGGTAAATAAAACAATCAGGTGAATAAAATAAAGTAACGTGGCTTATTCTCACACACACAAGCATACAGTTTGGTTCACCTAGAACCTTTAACTTAAAGCACAGACCCTGAACCCATCAGTTCTGGCTAACCAACAGACCCCTCAACCTATCAGGGTGGTACTCTGACCCACAGTAGTACCCTGTCACACACCCAGCCTCCCACAACAGCTTCTTCTTCCCCAGCTGCTGCTCCGCCCCAACCCAGTGTCTCACAGTCTGTCTCAGCATCTCCTCTTC